TAAAAGGTGTTCTCTTAGCAATGTCTATGTGGACAATCTGTTACCTGCTTGGTTTGAGGGATGCTTCAGTTCATGTTTGAAATGGGTGTTCTAGGCTGGGACATAGCATGGGGAAAGTACTCAGACCAACTCCTAGAAGACAGAGAGAGAGAGAGAGAGAGAGAGAGAGAGAGAGAGAGAGAGAGACAGACAGACTGAGGGAGAGAGACTGAGGGAGAGAGAGGGAGACAGAGACACAGAGAAACAGAGAAACAGAGAAACAGAAATGGGTGTTCTGAAGTCTGGTGAGAGGTAAGGGAGAACAACATGATGCCCTGAAACCACACCAGAGATGACTTCATGACTAACATCTTTTCTCTCTTGATCTTCATTTAGGCCACCAAATTTTAAAACATCAGTCCTTTAGGTCACACTAGGCTAAAAGTCCTGTTTGTCCACTTTGGTTTTACCGCAATTAATCTCAAAGCCTGCTCTAGATTCTTTTGCATCACTGAAATGATAAAAGAGATCAGGATAGTGAAAATAAAACTTTATCAGATAATTTGAAAACATCCATAGGAATAGAACAAAAACATTGTTATGGGTGTTTATGTCTGTTGCAGTTCATGATCACAGGCACCATAGAGGATTAAAACTATCACTTCCAGATGAGATTTATTCAGTCCAAGAGAGAGACCCACAGGGAATATTCCCAAGGAGAAGAGCCTCGAAGCTGAGAACTCTCTGGCCTTTATTTAGAATATCAATGTTAGAGGAAAACAAATCAGGAACAAAGTATTTTGGCCAAGGATGTTTAACCGTTCACAGACGCAGTGTGCTTTCTACCCTACAGTTTAACCATTTATCCCTGGCAAAGTCCCCTACCTATACTTCCCAAATGGACATAGGTTTTTTGTTTGTTTGTTTGTTTGTTTGTTTGTTTGTTTGCAGAACTGGGGATTGAACTCAGGCCCTTGTGCTTACCAGGGAAGCACTTATTCCACTGAGCCATCTCCCCGGCCCTGGACGTAGGTTTTCTGGATCTATCCTTTGAAGGCAACTTTCTTACTGTTTCATAAATGTAATTAGCTGCAATAGGAAGTAAAAACAACATTCTTCTGTAAAACTTCAAGGTGTCCTTTCATGTCCGCAGTAGTGGAATGTGATGCTTTGACTGCACCCACCAATGGGGTCATCCGTTCTTTGCAAAGCCCTGAAAGATTTCTGTGGAACACAACTTGTGCATTTGAGTGCAAGGAAGGATTTGAACTAGTGGGAATTGTGAATGTGCAGTGCACCTCCTCCGGGATCTGGGACAACGAGAAGCCAATCTGTAAAGGTAAAGTTCTTGCTCTGCCAGACCCTGCAAACCTTCACTTACTCAACCTACACTTGGAATGGGCAAGCCAGACTCATGAGATACACTGACACCGTGTTACAGCTGTGACATGCGATGCCATCCAATGGCTGCAGAATGGCTCTGTGAGCTACAGCCACTCTTCTGCTGGAAAGTTTGCCTTCGGGTCATCCTGCAGCTTCACCTGTGAGGAGGGCTTCATGTTGAAGGGACCAGCCCAGATTGAATGCGCTGCACAAGGGCAGTGGACACAGCCAGCGCCAGCATGTGAAGGTGAGGCTCAGCCCCTCCATGTGCTCCATTTTAGAGAAGCAGCCGCTTTGCTGGTGAACAGTGCAAATGAGGCCAGAAGTTCAGTTTAATTGTATGTATGAGATTGGATGGGCAACATTCACCACCTGTCTTTCTTTCTTTTTTTTCCAATAAAAAATATACTAAATTTTATGCAGTATCTAAATGACACTAAGCAACACACAATCCATGAAATGGAAAGATTAATTAAAACAATGTAACATCTGAATCTGGAAAAACTTCTTGTTACTTGTATTTAATTCTTTTTTTTCTCATCTTAGTGGTTATTCATTGTACAAGATACAGACATGATATCCTGTCCACAAACACTATTAGAACAAAAATCTCTATCTCCTGAATTAAGAGAATGCAGCTGTATATCTATCCTATTTTGAATATACAGAAACAAAATGGTTATTCATTTGTATCCCCCTTTTTTGTTTAGTTTTGTCAGAGAACGGTGT